AACAAGTTGATTACAACTATGACAACTGCTACAATCAGATTATTGTCATGTTTATTGAAATTACATCACAAAAGAATATATATCCCATACCTACACCAAACATACTCAAATTGCTAAACATTATAATCCGTATCGATTAGACATCACATGATGATAGTAGAATGGAATTGGCTCTGACTATCCACACCAAATTATTTAACCCGACCAGCCCATCATTTTATGAATGGCCTGACATTTCACATGTACAGATTCAACATGAAAAACTCATCAAAAAGCATATATTTAATTATTTTTAACTGTCACTTAATATACAAAGCTTTACACGATGAACCCTCATCAAACCAGACCCTGTTAATCCAGACACACCAACATTCAGACGATTATCACTGGAAAAATGCATACAAAGTAACATTACATCATACCACCCATACTTTACTCGCCACAATAAGCACTCAGCTTCACCAAGAACTTAGCTTCAATAAGCTCTCTGTTTCAATAAGTGCTCTACTTCAATAAGCACTCAGCTTCAACAAGAGCTTCGTTTCAATAAGCTCTCTGTTTCAATAAGCTCTGTGTTTCAATAAGTGCTCTACTTCAATAAGCACTCAGCTTCAACAAGAGCTTCGTTTCAATAAGCTCTCTGTTTCAATAAGCTCTCTGTTTCAATAAGTGCTCTACTTCAATAAGCACTCAGCTTCAACAAGAGCTTCGTTTCATTAAGCGCTCCGTTTCAATAAGTGCTCAACTTCAAAAAGCACTCAGCTTCAACAAGAGCTTCGTTTCAATAAGCGCTCTGTTTCAATAAGCGCTCTGCTTCAATAAGCGCTGTGCTTCAATAAGCGCTCTGTTTCAATAAGCGCTGTGCTTCAATAAGTGCTCTGTTTCAATAAGCGCTCTGCTTCAATAAGCGCTCTGCTTCAATAAGCGCTGTTTCAATAAGCGCTCTGCTTCAATAAGCGCTCTGCTTCAATAAGGGCTCTGTTTCAATAAGCGCTCTGTTTCAATAAGCGCTCTGCTTCAATAAGAGTTCTGCTTCAATAAGTGCTCTGTTTCAATAAGCGCTCTGCTTCAATAAGCGCTCTGTTTCAATAAGCGCTCTGCTTCAATAAGCGCTGTTTCAATAAGCGCTCTGCTTCAGTAAGCGCTCTGTTTCAATAAGCGCTCTGCTTCAATAAGCGCTCTGTTTCAATAAGCGCTCTGCTTCAATAAGCGCTCTGCTTCAATAAGGGCTCTGCTTCAATAAGCGCTCTGCTTCAATAAGGGCTCTGTTTCAATAAGCGCTCTGTTTCAATAAGCGCTCTGCTTCAATAAGAGTTCTGCTTCAATAAGTGCTCTGCTTCAATAAGTGCTTTGCTTCAATAAGCGCTTTGCTTCAATAAGCATCCCCTGACAAAATACCCAAACAATCTGTAAGGAATCTTAATACATGATATAAGCATCCCCTTCTCGTACGAAAATTTACAAGACAGACAAAGATTTCCAGCATATATTACAGAAAAAAGCAGAATAGAAGGGATAAATTATTACCCAGGAACTATTATCAAAAACATTTTAGTTTCATCAACGTTTGAACACACATGTTGAACAAAATTTGTTCACTCACGCTCGTTATCTGAAAACAAACTTAACTAGTGTATGGTTTTAATACGTGTCATGTGCACCAGCAATTACAGTAATTCATTACTCCGGACAATATCTGGTGGAATGCTACCAGCCAGATTGACATGCTCCATGTACTGATGTGAATTAATATTGGTCAAGTGAGTGAGTGAGTGAGTATGGTTTTACGCCGCTTTTAGCAATATTCCAGCAATATCAAGGCGGGGGACACCAGAAATGGGCTTCACACATTGTACCCATGTCGGGAATCGAATATTGGTCAAATGACCACGCACTTTGGAAATTAGAGTAACATATGGTCGATACAATACATTACTCTCCTCTAAAACATAAAAAAAATAATAATAATTCCCGACGCTGATTGTGGAATACATCTGGCTAAAGTTGTTGTCTTATAAATCTAGATTGGTTTTGTTTTCATAGAATACACATATTCCAGTCATGATGCAGGACTGCTTGGAAAATTATGGGTCAGGTATTCATGGCAACACGTAACAGCAATAATAGGACCAATGTCGCTCAGAAATTGCGGACCATTTTTTGTTTTATTCCGGGGTCGCTGACCTCCTGTCAATCTGAAGGACTATTTATCTAGAAGGACTATCTATCTAGAAGGGCTATCTATCTAGAAGGGCTATTTAGTTTCCTGAAACATAAGTACATTGTTTGGCCTGAGGTTCAGCATGTTACTGCGGATTATGACATACCTGTATTGATTACATTGGCTGACAATCAGTCCTGCATCTGACATGGCAGTCAACATACCTGGCTTATCATCGTACAGACTTCAAGGGTTTGTGTCTACCCCTAGCCGAGACCTCTCCACCGATAGCGTGTTTAAACTGGGTGATTGGAGCTACACAATGGGCAACGCCTTGTCGTACTTACAGCATGAATAACAGATTGTTTGCTGACCAAATAAAGTTGAAGTCATTTTGAAATTTATATGATCATACCTGTATTTATTTAGTGTTAAATTCATTCAAAAGATAATACTGTGTGTCTAGATACTGCACATACCCTGAACAAACTAGTGATTAAATCTAAACTCAAATCAGCATTATATCAGCCATTTAGGGCTGATCAAACAAGACTTTCCTGATCACAAAGACTTCTGTATAAAGGAAGAGAATTTATGGATGTCAACTTCTTTATTATGAGGAACACAACGTTTCAGAATATATGCTTACTCCTTCATGAGGTGAATGAAAGCTATGAGACACAGAGCATATATATGTACATGTAAGAACAACAAAAGTGATAAGACTACAAAAGGTGTTGTGACATTGTGTTCCTCATAATAAAGAAGTTGACATCCATAATTTCTCTTCCTTATGAGTATCACTTCTAAATGCTTTTCAAAGACTTGACTTCTGTATTGATAATTGAGCCTACGCCTTATTGCCCAATTTCCCAATTTCCCCATGTGTAATATTTCAAAGGAACACCTAATTTTCCTAATCATGATGAATCATACTTAAATGTGGGAGGTGACCTCAGACATGTACAAGGTAACTGGCTTACAATGAAGATTAATTTGTTAACAATGGAGTGAGCTGATATCAGCCTTGAGGAAGTGAAGTCTTGATGGGATTTGATTGAATGTAATTCACTCCAGCTCGAACATAAATAACCTCTGTAATTCTAAAAGCTTAGATAATGAATGATCATGTAGTATTAGAAGAAAACATGTAAATGAGAGATATTTCATTAGTACTGTTGTATTGAATTAGTCTGTTCTGTTCAGGCGCCTGATGTTGTCTCGGACATTACAATATGTGGTACAAACACACTTTTTGTTTCTTTCTTTCTTGTTGTTTGTTTGTTGTTTAACGCCGCACTCAGCAATATTCCAGCTATATGACGGCGGTCTGTAAATAATCGAGTCTGGACCAGACAATCCAGTAATTGACATCATGAGCATCGATCAACACAATTGGGCCACGATGACATGCATCAACCAAGTCAGCGAGCCTGACCACCCAATCCCGTTAGTCGCCTCTTACGACAAGCATAGTCACCCTTTATGGCAAGCATGGGTTGCCGAAGACCTATTCTACCCCGACTCTTCACAGTTCTGTGTCTTGTTTAACGCTGCACTCAGCAATATTCCAGCTATATGACGGCGGTCTGTAAATAATCGAGTCTGGACCAGACAATTCAGTGATTGACATCATGAGCATCGATCCACGCAATTTGGCAAGGGTGACATGCATCAACCAAGTAAGCGAGCCTGACCGACCGATCGCCTCTTACGACAAGCATAGTCGCCTTTTAAGGCATGGGTTGCTGAAGACCTATTCTACCACGGCTCTTCACAGTTCTGTTTCTTGTTTAACGCTGCACTCAGCAATATTCACACAATTTATCATATGATGCCCACCTGTAAAGAATCGAGTCTGGACCAGATAATCCAGTGATTGATATTGTCAACAACAATCCACACCATCACGGTTTGATGTGACAGGCTGTCACCTAGCCTGACCACCTGCACCATTTGGTTACCTCTTACGACCAGCTTCGGTTGCTGGGGACCTATTCTAACTCGAAATCTCCACACAACCATACACAGGCAACATACAGTGCTGCTTTATAATGAAAACACATCAGTTTGTTTTCTTTATTTGTTTTTTTAACACAGCAGCTATCACGGTGGACTGTAAAAAAAATGAAAGTCAGACAACTTGTTGTCTAGATCACATTGTTTAAGAGTTAAAGTCAGACAACTTGTTGTCTAGATCTCATTGTTTAAGAGTTAAAGTCAGACAACTTGTTGTCTAGATCACATTGTTTAAGAGTTAAAGTCAGACAACTTGTTGTCTAGATCACATTGTTTAAGAGTTAAAGTCAGACAACTTGTTGTCTAGATCACATTGTTTAAGAGTTGGTGAGGTGAGGTGAGGTGAAATGGTTTTTAACGTCGCGTCCAAGATTATTGCACTTACATAGCGGCGTGCATGCACATGTGCGCGCGCGTGCGTGTGTGTGTGGCTGCTAAGATGTACTAGTCTGGACTGATGTCGATTTATAGTGCTATTGATGCCGCAGTTTTAACATGAATACCCTGCTCAGACACAGTATACCAACTCCAAGCCGACCAGTCCTTGTAACAGACAGACAGGGTAACAACAAGTACCATGTCTTAACATATTTTGGTATGACGCAGACGGGGATCAAACCCCGGACCTTCCGCTCTCCTGGCGTACGCTCTTCCACCAGACCACAGAGGCAGTCTTGAGAGTCAGTAGTACTACATACATAGTAGTACTACACAATTCATAGTAGTAGACAGGAAAATTATCCTTAGTCTATTGGAAAGTCTTGTTGCATCATATTGTGCATCGCTGCTGGTAACTGGGGAAGACTCATGCTTGCCTTACCATAAACCGTCTTGATCTGTCATAGGGTTCATGTATGGTGTTCCCTTCACACTCCATGAACGTATCACAAACATTATAGGGGATCAGCTCCTCCATGACCTGCTCCAGAGTACCAGACACTCGATGCAGACAAGGACTTCACACGCATTCGACCATCACCAACCAGGTCTAGCAGGAACTACGACGACCAGGAAGCACTTCCACAATGGCCTGACTCGCACACACTCGTCTCACAACAGTTCCAGGTAGGAAACAATACCAAAGGTCCACATGACACGTTGATCCTCGAGTCAGCAGGACAACAAAACCCAGGGTAGATCCCCGACTAAGCTATCACAAACTAGAACCATGGAGACGGAACTATGCAGCGTTAACCGTTCCGTGTGTCGGGTACGTCAGTTCTGACACCTAGATATCATCCATCAGAAGTAGCCACCCTGCCGAAACACTCCTTCCCGGTATATGAGCCGTTCTGTAGACAGAAATCACTTCAGCAAACTATCTGAAGGTCCTCCCACGTAACGGAATAACATTTAAGCTTTCAAGTGCTCACAATTTGCCAATACTCTGCCGGCTGAAGATTTAGGGTCCTAGTACAGGGGTCGAAGGAAGGTAGACGGAAGTTAGCTGGTATATGTAAACAAGGCCCTCTGCACGAGCTGATGTAAGCAACTGATAATGTTATTAGAATACAGTGTTCGAAATTAAATCTGAGTCCAGAAAGATTCAGGAAGGACCAGTCACGTTTCCTTGTGGACCACCAGGTATTAGGTAGATGGCATCTTTGTAGCATATAATTTCTGTAGACTAGTGAAAAATAAATTTATTTCTAACCCTGTACAAGCAGGACAACAAGATTGCAAATGTTTTGTTTTTTAAATATGCATAGAGCTTAATCGTTTAATAGAAGATGTTTTTCCAATCTCTTTGTTTTCAAATAATTAAGAACTGACTTCAATATTTGTAGTATTTATGTATAAATGTAAAAGATTATATAATTAATTCTTAAAAATATACACATAAGCAGTCACTTAACAGACTGCTTTTTAATCAACACACAAACAATGTAGACAACAGTACGAAATCAATGAAATTGTTCAAAGCAATGATGATGCAACCCAAGTGCCACCCACTCTATCATAAGCCAATCAGGAAACAGTAGTAGTATTATACAATTATTGTAAACAGCTTTATTTCTGCGCCGTTAAAATATTGCGAATATCACACCAAAGAAAATACTGCGACGAGATATTTTTGCGAACTGCCATGTTGAGATGACCCCTCGATTACCAACAATAGACAGCTTCTCTCCGAAGCTAGTTAATTTTTGGCTTATGGAAACAAATGCAAATAATATTGCTTGCTAAGCCAATCATATCTCATTGAATCACTTGCATTTTATGTCTATTGCAATGCTGCATCATTTATCCTATTGACTGTGCTCTTCAAACCCTGAACAGTACTTGTCAAGTTCAACGGAAGACTGTATATATTGATTCATTGATTGTCTGTTGTTTAATGACGCACTCGGTAATATTACACCTATATGACGGCGGTCTGTAAATAATCAAGTCTGGACAAGACAATCCAGTGACTGATATAAGCATCGATCCACGCAATTGTTATACGATCACATGCATCAACCATTTAGTTACTGTACACATAGATCAGCACATATCATGTAGAGACAAGTATTTGTTTTGTGTGAGTGGTAAAATGTTGGCATTGCCAAAGGAATGGCAACTGCTTTCAAAAATAACATTTTGTATGAATTGATATTTTTTGTTAGCCACTGAACTACTACCGGTAAATCAAATGCAATATTACTGGTATATTGTATGCATACTGAACCAAACATATTTGGGGGGATATTGCATCTGAACTTGTGTCATCAGTCTCACTACAAAAATATATCACCAAATATATTCATGATCCCTAACTGTTTCGGTTCAGTATACATACAATATACATGTACCAGTAATATTGCACACACCTCAGAAAGCATTAATCAAGGTAAATAACAACACTATTTAAGGAGTAAATATGTAGGATTGAATTGTGGTTCAAGTAAATGTATTCAGCATGGTTTCAAACATGGAGCTTCCAGTAAGATTAATGATTTAACACTGGCAAATAACTGGACATCAAGTACACTTGGAGAAGAAGGTATGTTAAACATCAACATGAGGCAAGGAATCGGCCACAAGTCCACTGAAGTACATGTACTTGTAGTCTCACACTGGTCTCACCTACATCAGCTTTTGAACTTTAATTTCGCGATACAGTAACATGTATAACGAACTCAAAGGGGCCACTAATTTTAGTTTGTTATACATGTTATAACCATAGTTCGTTATAAGCATTTATAAAGGACATACACAGCAAATGCCCAGGACCAAAAAACAGCATGCTATATCCATCAGTTTGTTTTAAGCGTGTTCATTATAAACATAGTTTACAAAGATAAACAGGAAATAAACACATTTGAGACTTTTGTTTGTTTGTTGATTAACAATGATTAGAATTGCACTCAGCAATATATGTCAGACTGAAAATAGTTCAGACCAGACAATATAGTGATTGATATTATGAGCATTGATAAAATGATAAAATGCCATTGGGTTACAATAACATACAATCAAGTCACTGAATCTGACCACCGATCCATCAAAGCATGGGTTGTTTGGGATCAGCTCTAACTCAGAATGCCAACAGGGATAAAGCTTGATCTGCACTTCTACAACTCCATCTTCCTGAGGCAAGGGCATGAACAGACTACAAAAGTCCAATTCCGACCATGCCGAACTAGGCTGGAATTTCCAGCCTTGATCGAGGTCCCGCAAGTGGCTATTACGAGTTATGTCCCTTCTATGTCCCTCCTACTGACCAATCAGATTCCATCCTTTACATCACTTGCATTTGCTTCAAATGAAGGCGCCCAGTCAAAACAATCTGATCGATAATCAATATGTATATTGTAATTAAACAGGTTTTACCCCTCAAAGTGCATCAGATCATTTGAGCACATGGATGATCAACATGAAAAGATTTGCAAAATATCTGTCGACGCCCAGTTGGCAGTTCACATGCTTTGCAATTCCTGCAGTCGAAATCTGCATGTAGAAATCCATGTTGTTTACGAGTAGGATGTCTACTTTGTTAAGCGATCTTGATTGGACTATGCATAGACTCGTTAGTCCAGCCAAAATGTAACTCCGGAATTCCAGCCTACTTCGGCAAGGGTGGGAACAGGACTATTATAGTCAGTTAATGCCCTTGCCTCAGGAAGATGCTACATCTCTTTCAGTATGTCACACTCCTCGTCATGAGCTTAGCTTGTTAGAGCACTTAGGTCCTGACCCGTGAAGATCCGGGGTAGAGTAGGTCTTCAGCAACCCATGCTTGCCGTAAGAGGCGACTAACAGGATCAGGTGGTCAGGCTCTGACATGGTTGATGCATGTTATCGTATCCCAATTGCGTGTATCGATGCTCATGAAGTCAATCACTGGAATGTCTGGTCCAGACTCGATTAATTACAGACGGCCGTCATAAAGCTGGAATATTGCTGAGCGCGGCGTTAAACAACAAGCAAACAAACTTAGGTCCTGGACATGTTCAGCAGGTGCTTGAAGATATATACCAGTCAACAGAAGTTAAACAATACCCGATTCTTTCATATTACCATAGTTAAACTGTCATGTTGTCAGGTCTTCCTTCGCTACTTTTGAGTAGTTTGTTTGTTTGTTGTTTAATGCCCAACTCAGCAATATTCCAACTATATGAAGGCAGTTTGTAGATAATTGAGTATGGACCAGACAATCCATCATGAGTATCGATTCTTGCAATTCAGATACGATAACATGCATCAACCAAGTCAGTCACCTCTTACGACAAGCATAGACACCTTTTACGGCTAGCATGGGGTGCTGAAAATCTATTCTATCCCGTATCTTCACAGGTCCTTTTGAGATGTGTATTACAACAGAACATGTAAAATGTATACACACACCTAAAAAAGGTACCCTGTCTCCCATTAAACACTATACATTAAACACAACACTGAACAAAAATACATTTGTCTTCATACAATACAAGAGTCTTGTACCATTTTACAAACTTCTGGAGAATGGTATATCTACAGGCAGCAAGGTGACTCCCTAGCACCTCGAGGTAGGAATGTGCTGTGTTATAAGTCTGATAGAGAGGTTTAGTTTCCAGGTGATAGGGCCTGAATATAGGAAGCTCCCCCCAGGCTAACAGCGCTACACTGGATCGAGGGGGTGGGTTTTGTCTCCAGGTGATAGGGCCTGGATCTAAGCGGTTCCCCAAGGCAAATACCACTCCATCTTGTCACCTCCTTGCCAAGAACTTAAACACACTGACAACAATAGATCCCTCTGGCTGTATACAATACACCGTCCCCACATATATCCCACACACCCGACAATCTAGGACAGAAGCTACGCTATCTGCCATCTGCCTTTCTCTAATTCCTTTGCACTAAGATACAGTTGCTGTCATTCCGACTGCCTCTCACGCTCACCTGCTTACTAGTTCTCAACTAGTTCTGATACTGACATTCCTAACATATACATGATACATTCAGTTTGTGGTATCTGAATTTCCGTTGGAATTTCCTTGAAATGACAAAAAGAGAAAATGAGCAATAAGTGCATACCTATCTTAAAACATATGGTCTGACTAGACTAACATAGTCTATGAAATCTTACATTATACAATACCCTTCTCGACTCGAAATAATTTTCCCTGTGCTTATATCATGTGGAATAGAGCTAGCTAAAACTGGCTAGACTTGCTTTTGTATACGTTTCTAGATAAAAAAAAAATCAATAAAATAAATATATTCCAGTCATGGTGCAGGACTAGGTCTGAACTAACATGAACTTTTCAATGTAATGTTATTGTGATGAGGATTTTTAAAAAGTTGTCCCCACCTAATAGCGCCTCAGGCCGCTTGGGATGTATACTACCCAGGAAGCTGAGAATGAAAATCGAGTGAGACAATAGTGAGTGAGTGAGTGAGTGAGTGAGTTGGGTTCTACGCCGCTTTTAACAGTATTCCAGTTATACCACGGCATGTCAGCTTGATGTGGGAGGAAAGCCCGAAGTGATGCAGGTCTCAGACGTTTACCACTTCAGTGAAACCCACGAGCACGGGTATGGTGCTGACAAACCTAGAAACATAATTGGGGCAAACCGGGATTCGAACCCACAATCATAGGTTTCTGGCGTGCCCAAGGGATGCAACTCTGCACAGCGAATCGCGGCGCCTTGGACGACTGGGCCACCCGTGCCCCCAGTGAGATAATAATACTGTCATGCTGTGAGCATGCTCCTGTGTGGTGTGGAAATACAGCGCAATATACAAATGGCCTTGTTATTATTTCTATTAGGGACATCATCATGAACAGGCACAGGCCTCCATATGGACACATCTAAAATGGCAGGTCACCCAAAACTTCTTTCAAACAATTTCAAATATGATATCAATTTCCAATTCAATATTAATTCCTAACAGATTAAAGCCGTTCTGCCTGATTTTTTCAACTGAAAATCCCCAAAAGGA